TGGCCCTCATTCCTACCCTGGTCCTGGGTTCTCAGTCAGTTCTTTCATGTTTGCACTCTCTGCGGTTTCTTTGAGAAAATGTGGCAGTGGAGGTATTCATAGTAAGCGTGAGCCATTTGCTGATTGTCTGTGTGTGTTATGAGAGCTGCCCATAAATAGCTTGGAACTGGCACGTAGCAGACCCCTCCCCAAACTGTCACAGCGATCCCATCAGTTTATTTTCAGCATGCCACATCTTTACTATTTCATTTGTAAAATCTATGTATGTTGTGGCAGCATGGGTAGGGTCTGTTCCAAAGTGCTGTTTCACGGTCTGAATGCATGCGTTTCAGTAGGTCCCCATGTGTCTGTTCACGTTAGTGGGAGGGACTAACACGGAAATAGGGCAATCACCTTTCTAGTCTAGTGTCACTTCAAAGCCTCTCTTGACTCTCATCCTCTCTGATTTTCCTTAAAGCAAAGAATATTCCCTGGAGGGTTCCCCACCGGCCCGCCTCTGCAAGCAGGCTGCTGTGGCCCCGACACCAACCGCGGTGTACTGCCTGCACTACTCAGGTACACTCTCTCCAGGAACTGGCCTGTTCTGTTTGCCAGGGTCTTTTTGTCTGTCCATGATCCTATTGCAAATATGTTTTGTATCTCGGTAACTTGACTTTAGATGACATTGAGTCTAGATTAATGGAAATTATTCTAGAACATTCACTCCTGGACTTGCTTGCCCTTGGCTCCTAGGGACACCAGGTTGTAAACTTTGCTCCTACCTCTGCTCCCATGGAGGCAGCTTGAGGATGGGGGTGCTGACAGGGCACTGGTCCCGCAGTTGGCAGCTGTCTGCTCACTGGCAGGTGGCAGGTGGGCCTGGGCAGCTCCGGTCCTGTGGCGTCCACACTGGCCTCCCGCTGATGTTGTGGTGCAGTCTCCTGTAGGGTGACCTTCCCCTTGTGTGGTGGGTGTTTAAGGCCTTCACCTGCTTCTTTCCTGAGGCCTTGGTGCCATTTCTAAGTAACCCTTGAGGAGCTCGGGCAGGTCCCTCTAGTAGTTGCTACCCTGGAGCTTTGCTGTTAGAAGTGAGCATTGTGTCAGGTTCCACGACCGACTTGCTGATGGGAATGTGCCCTCGCTTTGCACCGGGGCTGGCCGTCACACCCTGCCCGCGGTTGGGGCCCGGCCCCTCCACAGCGTCTCTTACCTGAGGATTTTATGTGGCCGGCCTCAAGATGCTCCTGACTCCTGACTCTGCTGCACTCCCTTTATTTTCTGTTTAATTCCATCTGTGTAATTACATATAATGTTTTGAGTAATTTTGGGAGATTAGATATGTAGTATTATCAATAAATATCTTTTTGATATTTGATAGGCTTGCTTTTATAGGGTAGGATATGTATTAGCTATTACAGATCCTCAAGTATGAATGTTACAGGGATTTATTTTTCCTGAATTTTAGGGAAATGTTTGAAATGTAAGTGCTCAGCTGAATACACCTCTGAAAAAGTCTGCTGCTGAAAAAGACGCACCTCAGTTGTGTCAGGGTGGTAGGTAGTCCTGGTCTTAGGCTGTTGAGACAGCTCTCCTCAGTCCTATCAAGGTGGAGGTCCTGGTCTTAGGCTGCTGAGACACAGCACCTCATTTGTGTCAGGATGGAGGCCAGGGTCCTAGGCTGCTGAGACCTGGAATCCCAGTCCTGTCGGGTGGAGCTTCTGTCCTGGTCTTAGGCTGCTGAGAGACGGCACCTGATTTGTGTCAGGGTGGAGCTCCTGGACTTAGACTGCTTGGGGTTCAGATCCTGTATCCAACTGTTGTCTGCCCTGTGACTGGGCAGGCTCCTACCTCTCCCATTCTCACATCTCTCTTCTGGAAACCACGGACTGTACCATAAGATGTTTGGACACCATCTTTACTGAGGTGTGCCAAGGGACATCATCTTTACTGAGTCAGCATGGCACCTGGTGCACAGGAGGGACCCTCAGTGTAGGTGGTTAGTCCTTGAGAGGGTTAATCAACCTGACTACCTGCTTGTTTCATTGTCTCATGTCACCTGAGAAATGAGTGTAGTTAGCAAAAACTCTTTTCCTGTAGTAACTTTGACTGCATGAGTTATGAGTCTATGAGATGTTTCTGGGCTTCTTTCTTTCACAGATGATGGCCGGCGGCTGGCCTGTGGCTTAGCCAACCACCTGCTGCTTGTCTTCGATGCCAGCCTCACTGGAACCCCAGCTGCTTTTTTAGGTAAAGTGTGATGCATTTCACTTAGCCTGGATATGGGAATGGGCCTCACTTTGGTCCTGGTCATGAATGGCTAAGGCTGCTTTTGTTTCCTTCAAAATAGCAACAAGTATAGAAACAAGGGTTGGATTGGGGAGACCACGTGATGACATTTCATACACCTGATTACACTGATCCATGAGGAACGAGATGGAAATGACCACTGTTATGACAGATGCCCTATGGCCCGGAGCACAGACGGGCATTGTGTTCTTAGGGCAGTGAGTGGCACTGAGTCATATATAGACATCTATCTATATCCAGATGTACTTTGGAAGTTATTATGGTTTTTATGTGGACATTTTAGTAATCATAACAAGGCAGCCAATTTTTTCAGAGAGGAGTTGGTAACTGAGATGTGACCTCCATGTTACAGTGGGTTCTGTATCCCCAAGCTCCTTAGTCTTGCAGCTCTTTTTAGGGCCCTGGTGTTGTCATCAGCCCTTTTGTTTGGCAGACATTTTACCAGAAAGCACAAGCACACAGCCCCTCAGGAGCCATTAGGTCTGTGTTATGTTCTCAGCACCTTGATGAGGAGTGCACCTTTCACTTGCAGTGAGGAATGGGGAGGTTGAGGAGGATAAGAGGGAGTGGGATGAGCTGGCCAGGTGGGAGGCCTGTGTACCCACATGGAGAGGACACCCAGCCTGTGGAGGAGACACTGTGACCTAGGGCTCCGGGTTGGCATGGGCCTGGTTCTTGGCTGGTGAAGCTGTTCCTGAGGTTGCAGTAGCCCCATGCAGTGGGTGGGAGAGACCCATTTAAAGGTGGCCAGAGGGTGCTGAGTCAACTGGGCTTCTGCTGTGGAGAGAATCCACCTCCTGGGTAGTGGCCGGCAGGCAGGCTTTCCCGTTGCCTGTGAGATCCCTGCCCCTGCCATAGCGCTTTTGCTCCTGATTTTATACCCAGCCCTCTTGTCCACACCATTCCAGTATGGAAAGTCTGTGGGACAGTTCTACTGTGTACTCTAGGGGCACTGTGAGTCAGAATCAACTCGATGGTAGTGGGTTTTTGGTTTTGTGGCTCTCTGGGGAAAACCTCTAAGTGGGCGCTTTCCTGTGGCTGAACAATTGATGTGAATGATAATTATGTTTATTATGAATATTACTCTCTGTCATATGCTTGGTGTGTTAGACTGGGTTCACTAGAGAAACAAAAGCCAGCAAAGCTTATATAATATTTATATATAGAGAGAGAAATTTATCTTAGGAAAATGGCTCACAAACGTATAGAAGCTGGCAAGTCCAAAGTCTCTGGAGGAAACGTCGGGCTGGAGGCAGCCTTAGCTTCCACAACTGCAGGGGGCCAAGAAATTCAAGGCTGGCAGGTAGTACACTGGTTGTTGACTCCAACGAAAGATGAATCCAAGATCTCCAGGCCGAGGGGTGGGCTGCTCACTCATGGAAGGTTGTAGTCAGCACACCAGGGTCCCGATACACCGAAGAATGTCTCTCTTCCCAGATGTCCCTGGATATCCTGGAAGCAGGCCACACCCCTAGGGGAACTCCTCTTGGGCAGATTGGCCATTCAGAACACAGTCATCTGATCCCATCATGGGAACAACCATATAGAACTGGGGTCCAGCCAAGTTGACACACAGCTCCAACTATCACAGTTGGAAAAAGGGCTTGGTACTGAATTAAGAAAATGCAGTGGAGAGTGATACTAGTTCTAAAAGATTTGCTTTAGTTCTGTTTTGGGGAGGAGAGTCACTGCTGCTCACTTTCCCTGTTCCAGTCCTCCTTTTCTGTCCTACTACATCCTATCACTTGATATCTTTAAGAACTTGATGGTCACTTGACTCAACTTTGAAAACACAATTGGCTTCTTACCCAGAAAACAGGAAAAATGGGTGTTATGTTTTCATCCTAATTGAAGACAAATCATCTAAATATATTCTGAATTTTTTAGTATAAACACTAGATACTTAATTAAAAGTCTCGTGGAGACTCCTGGCCATCAAGAGTGCCACCAGGCCATGCATCCTACTGTAAAAACTGTTAAGAGTGATAACATTTAATGAAGCAATTTATGCTTTAGATTTTGAAAGATTTTCTGTGAATCCATGTTTAAAATTTCTAGTACTTTAGTTCCATCTCTGGGGCCGAATGTGTGCCTGGCACAGAGTAGATGGATGAGTCTGGAAACCTTATTCACCTCATGCCATGCCCATGAGTGACAGATGACAGCAGTCACATTCTGGGGTCAGTTATTTCAGAATATCAAATTTAATTAAGCTTTAAGTAAAGATTATGTTGTTGTTGTTAAGTGCCGTC